ACGGATGGAGCCTGACTCGTTTTCTCAGCAGTTGGGTTGACATTGACTTGCATTCCATCAGCACCGCAGCCTAGAAACAAAGAAACTTATAAATACCCAAAACAACTGTAGTCTGTAACCTACAAATATAAAATAAAATAATTTGCCTGGTTTTCCGCCCTTCAATTATTCAAGGTTATCATAGTTTAATGAGAAAGAAGTTTTTAATATTCCAGGTTGCATTCTTTGTGTAGTGTAAGTACTATATAAAGTTACATTTAAATATGTCAAGGCTGGGTGTTTGTTTTAGCGTGGAGGAAGAAGAAACAGACAAACAAGAATAATTTAAAATGTCAATAAGCAAATATAAATAGGAAAAAGTATGAGGACCTGCAATAACAATTATTATTTATCGATTTTAAATTACAAATGTTTCTAAAACTGAAAAAATAGAACAAAATGACATTATTTTTCGCTGATCACTGATAGATAGTTAACGTTGTATACATTTACTTTCTTACCATCATCACTTGAATCCTTTTCACAGATTTGTATTCTCGAAGAAGAGGTTGATGCACTTGACTTTCTAGATGCATAATCTGAACACTTTTCCAAATGTGTCCTCATACGAGCAATCAGGCCCACCATGTTTGTCCTGCAATTCTTGCATTGCGCTCTGAGTGTTTTTCCGCCAACTCCAGTGGTAGACCTCGAAGAAACTGAAATTTCTATAACGTTTCGCCAAAGAGGGTCTTTCTTCCGCCCTGTTAACATATTTTTTTCCAAAATAACACGCCACACACCGTTATTGTATATTTAAACAAAAAAAGTACGTGTTTACATTTCACAAGCACAACATGAATTGATCCATTGATCGATTTCGTTCGGCTTTCATTCTATCTAGCTGAACAAAAGCAAGCCGGGAAATCCCCACATTTTACGAACATTCGCCGCATCACCGCTTGTCAGGGGAATCCCACCTAGTAATATCGAAGTTGCCAACTCTTTGGTGAAAAACATACCATAAAATGAGTTTCTTAGTATCTTTTAACTAAAAGTATGACGTATTTTTTATGTGTTTTAAACATGTTTTAAACAAATTGTTTTTAATTATGTTCTAAACGTGATATGTATTTTTGTAGTGTTTTAATCAGTGTTTTAAACGTATGTTTAGAACAAATGTTTTAAACATTGCCAACCCTGGTCGTACCCCTTCGCAAAAACTGTGATACTTCGGAAAGTACACAGCTTCAATAGTCATTGACAAAGACTGTGAGGTGATTGATCGTTGGGTCCGAGAAGCATGTGCTTCTAACCTTCTGCATTGGATCTACCAATATATCTGCTTCAGCCAGTATGATCTTGAGGTTCGAAATGAAGGAGTGCATCATTTCACCAAGTACTTCAATAATCGGAACTACTATTTCAACAGATTGGTCTAGATAGTGTCAGTGTAGTTCTAAAGGAAAATATCGATATTTTATCCGTTTGTCCCCTCATAATCGACTCACCTAGAACTGATAAATTCAATATATTCAATACCATCTTAGTTTGATTGTTCAGAAGTACTTCATCAAGCTGATTAGCTTGAATCTGGTGAGGATGGGGAATAACTAGTTTCAATTAAATCCTCACTTCTCAATCCCAGATCCGATTTGATACCCCTAGGATCACGAGGCAGCATCAGTGTGTAGCCAATACCGTGGAAGTTGCAAGGATAATAATAAATTACTCTCAGGGCTGCGTTATGTCGGTGTTTATGGGCTGATACTGCATATGGTGAGCATGTGAACAGCAAAATCTAAGCGTCTCAAGCACCTTGTGGCAGGTCGTGAACCTGGTGATGAAGATAGCATCCCTCAGTTTCTGACTTCAGCTCAGCTTTCATGATCTGAAAAAAGCAAAAGTCAGGTGCTTTGTTGATACAAGGTCTTCAATGATGAAGGAAACTTCTTGTGTAACCGCAGGAGTAAACTGATATCTGCTCTTGTGCTATTGATATTTTATTGAATGTGTTTTAATTCGGTAACTGACTTGTAATCACCTCGTTCAATGTTGAACTGAACAAGTTCATCGATCACTCGAGTAGCTGCCTATATGCATGTAGCTTCTTCCAATTCCTCCTCTCTCATGATTGCGGACCTTACAACTGAGGGAATCTGATACACTCCATACTCAACAGACATGCTAACAGCATGTCTGTTAGCCGTGAAAGTATAAATTTCGTTCTTTTCTGATAGTTCCAAAGATCAGATGTGTAGGAGTTGATGCTGATACTCCAGATAGTACAGGATGCTTCTACAATATACGAACTATAGATCCCCTTTGTCATATTCGCACCATGGACCGTTCTACATTCTTCTGTTCAATTTCGTTACCGATAGCATACCACAAATTTTAAAGACTAATAGATAGTTTTTTCTTCGTTTTCATAAACTTTGAGATCGTCCATATGAAATATATGGGGGGCAATAGTGAGATGTAGATGAAAAAGGGAGCTGTCTGAGGGAATCTTCATGAAACAATCTTCACTGAATGTGACTTGCTCTGTTGGCATCTTAACCAGATATCATAGTGAAGCGTGTTCCCCAGACCGACAGCAGATGTTCACGACACCATACTACTCACGTCATTATTGAAGGATATTGGAATAAAAAATATAGAGGTGACCCTATCTACAGTCCAGGTGATTTACGATGGTGGCCTGAAAAGTTTCCGACCTACAAAAGATACAAGACATTTTTTCAGTGGTAACTTTTTATGGGACGGTGAACCGCTTGGTAAGGTAGCGCATAACGGTGCCAGTATGTGGCTTCCTTTTCTCCTTACTCTAACACACAGCGCTAGCCGTATTTCGGAAAAACGATTATCTCGTTTCTCTTCGCATGACTCAGTGTTCAGTGTGCGGTCGGTCGACATATACTGTTAACAGTGAGCATATAACGTAAAATCACCGTTTTTGGAAATGATAAAAAATTGATGAAACAAGCATCCCCGGAAAATTACAGAATTTCGTAACGAAAGGTCAGTTTAATAAACTCTGCTTTACTTTGCCAAGCTTTCGCTTCTGATGGAAAGCTTCTTCAGGGCAGTAAAAATGAGTTAAAAACAACAAATTGAACATTTAAACTGACGGAGAAGGTTAAACATGTTTAAGATTATTTTAACCTTCTCCGTCGGTTTATATGTTCAATTTATTGTTTTTACTGCCCTGAAGAAGCTTCCCATTAGAAGCGAAAGCTTGGCAAAGTGAAGCAGAGTTTTGATTTTTTGACTGAGAGATCCCGTTAATCCATTTTGCTATACATTTCTCCAGTCGCTAAGATTATCCACTTTAATATTGAATAGTTCAACTTGTAGTTCACCCCTGTCAGGCGTCCCGGGACGCACACTTCTCACAATGATGCTTCCATCTCTGTAACCCGTTCAAATAGTACTCGGCGTTTTCTTCTGCAGAATAATTGTTCACGAAGGTGATTGCCTCTTCATTTGACGAAAAGTTCTGTCTTTCGAGTGCAATTTTCAGATGAGGGAACAAAAACAAGTCGCTAGGAGCTAGATCTGGTGAGTAAGGTGGATGGTTAAGCAGTTCAAACCGTAATTCGTGGACTTTTGCCATGGCAACGGCTAAAGTGTGAGACGGCGCGTTGTCTTGATGAAACAGGATTTCCTTTTTCTGCGAATGAGGCCGTTTTCCTGCAAGTTCTGTCTTCAGCTTGTCAAGTAATAATGTATAGTATGCTCCTGTTGTGGTTTTTCCTATTTGAAGATAATCGATTGAAATAACTTCATGAATATGCCAAAAAACAGTCGCCATCACGTTCCCAGCCACAAAACAGTTTTTGCTTTTTTTGTATCTGGTACCCCCTTTGCAGTCCACTGTTTGGACTGTATTTTTGTTTCGGGCCTATAATGATGTACCTATCCAAGTTTCATCTAGCAATAAATCGGTGTTAAAACTAGGATTTATTGCGGTCAAAGTGCGCCAACAGAGCGGTGGAAATATTCATTCGAACATGTGTTTGGTCTAACGTGAGCAAAAACGCGGCACCCAACGCGCGGACAGATTTCTCGTGCCTAAATGTTGATTTAATATGTGACAAATACGTTCTTTTGAGATATCTATAACTTCTGCTATCTCTTTCACTTCAATTCGACGGTCGTCTAGCACCATTTGGTGAACTTTGGCAACGTTTCCGTTGATAGTTGCAGTTTTTGGATGTCCCGAACGTTCATCGTCTATGAAGCTCTTACGGCCACGTTTAAATTCAGCTAACCAAATTTTCACTGTGATGAATGATAGTGAAGAGTCCCCTTACACAGAACCAACCAATCTTTGATTCGCGTAGGCGTATTGCCTTTCGAAAACTAATATTTAGTGACGCCTCAATACTCGATTTAGACCATTTTCATAAAAACACTCACATCAACTCAGGGTTGAAACTTTGGTGAGTAACTGTCAACAGATGAACAACGAAATTCACTAACTTTTTTACGAGTGCCGCTATTTTCTTGTTGAGGTCGTAAACTTTTCACATCACCCTCGTATATTCGATTTTTTTTTGTCAAAAAAAGTCGCTTTGGAAAACCACTGTATATCTAAACAAGATTAGATTATATTTCATCTAATATTCAAGAATGTCAATATATATTCGCTAGCATAAAAAGTCACGAATTTCTTTTTGTTTGCGATTCAACAAAATGTATGTAGAACATGACATTAAAGAGTGAAAAGATATGAAACGATTTGCGGATAATATTCCCGTAAGACAACTAGTATCGTTGCGTAATGACTATTTGCAGAACATAACACGACTTTTATGCAATACAGTTTCAAAATGACACTCGGGCTTTATATAATTCTCGATTACTCACTCGTCAATTCGAATAATGGTACACAATGCTCGAACACAATGTGTAATTTGGAAAAATAGTCATTTCAGAAGTTCTGAAACCGTCGCTCCCCCACCTACCTAACGACGCCCCCGTAAGTAAATCATCGGATGCTTTCACTAAATTTCAACCGCGAATATGGAACACTAAATATTCATTGTTCATTAACGGCGAGTCAATCAGAACAGGTGCTCAACTTTTTTTTTCAAAATGTACAGTGTGCTCTTTCTGATAGTTTACCTCGCGAATGCCGTGAGATCGACGGAAAATGTCACATTCGAAACACGTGAGTATATTTGTCATTTTTTCAACCCCAACCTCATTTTGACGAATTCTGTTAAATCAATGCAGAATTTTCAGAGGGTGAAATTCAGATATCATCTGAGATACTTTTTGAGTGTACTTAGTCATAAACTTTGATTTATATTTGTTTGCCACAAAAATCAGTTTTCAAAATTAAAACTCCATCGCGGTATAAAAAAATAGTTTGAGGTTTTTCCTCTGTCATTATTTCTTCAGAAAAAAGGTTGGTTGTAACAGGATAAATTTTTTCTTACAAAAACAATTGTTTTCTCTCCGGTGTTTCGAATTTATTTAAATTCTTCTTCAAGGCTCGAAAATTACTTCTTTCGTGTTGATAATATTATTATTTCAAAAGCCATCAGACATATTGGATACATATTTTTAAAAAATTAAAAACATTGCAAACAACCAAAATTTCCGAGACAACACCAACACAAAACGTTTGTTTCATGTCGTTCTGAGTTGGTGTTATTTGCATTGTTTTTATTTTTTTTAAATATGTATCCAATATGCCTGATGGCTTTCAAAATAGTAATATTATCAACACAAAAAAAACTACATTTCGAGCCCTGAAGAATAATTTAATTAAATTCTAAACGTCAGCAAGGAAACAGTTGTTTTTAAGAAAAAAATTGATTCTATTACCCAACCAACCTTTTTTCTGAAAAATTATTGGTTCACTAAAATACTTACCTGATTATTTTTTTATTTCAAATATTGCACAAATCATCACAATGATAGTTAATTAATTTTTGATCATTCCTTTATCAAATTGGAATTCATCTTTAATTTTTTCCGTCAATCTTATATATTTCACAGCAGTTTTACTGATTGACTATAAATCGATACTTATGATAGCGGCTTTGTCAACATCATTATTTTCGACAGATAATTATAATAATGATGATTTGGAGTTATTTCAGGAAAATCCGAAAACTTGACTTTCGACAGTATGTTTTTTAAGTTTATATCATCGTTTCCTTCTGAAAATAATCTCAACATCAATTCCCTTTGCACGCCAATTGATAATGCACGATAAAATGAAAATAGTTTTCATCATTTGCACACATTTTAATGGATTGATATTGATGCATTCGCGATGAAATCCTTGAATAATATACATTTTTCAACAAAAAACTTTAATGTCTTTCATTTTGGGTCACGATTTGATATATTCAGTATTTCCTTATTTATTTATATAACAGTGTACCTAACTAACCGCTGTCTGTACATGGGAGATATTTGGTAAAATCTTCCATTGAGGATCTTTATTAAGGAAATAAAACTAAAAACTATGAATCATAGATTTTTTTCTGTCTATCTGTTCATCAGCGCATTTGTTAACACCACTTAACTCAGTGTTTAATACGTTGCTGAAAGTTGAATGGAACATTTGCCTTAATGAAGAAAATGAAATTGAAAACTCCTTCAAATTAATTACATGCATTTTTCATTTCTCTATTTGACAAACAAACGCTCTAACGAATTAATTTGAATATTAAATGTTGAATTTATATTTTTTGATCGATTTCCAGGAAATACCGTCGTCATGATATTCGACAAATCAAATTAATACTAAACATATGGGTGATAATTAGATTAAATAATTTTTGCAAACATGGATTTATGTCACAATAATTTCCATTTGAAGCAATTCTTCAGGCACGAGTAACAATGAAGAGTCATTTTCAAAAATTATTTAATTTCTCCAGGGACGTTATAAATGAAAATTTTTATTGATAGTTTCAAACAAATAATTTATCAACTATCTTCATAACTATCCTTCACATATTATTCTTCAAATTTTACCTATTTCTGTTTTGGATTGTCAACTCAGCAAAATATATCAATTATTCTTCGTCAAGAAGATGAATCAATGACTAAATTTTCTGAAATTGAATTTTTGGAGAAACATACGTATTCCATCATGAAATAAATAGTATCTATCAATAACAATATAAACAATTTTGGATCAATTCCTATCGACATGCCTGTATTAGATTTAAAGAAAGTCACATGCTGTACAAATAATTCGTCAGATTGATTATTCAACATAAATATTTTCAATTTTCAATGCTACTGATGTAATCACACTTTGAAAATGATATAACTAAAGTTGGAGGGTTTGACACTAATACTGGTATCAAAAATCCTACACACATGAAATAAAGGAAAGAAAATGAATTTGTTGGAAGCTATGGAAATTAACAAATCAATCAAAAACCAGAAATATATACCCATAAACGAGCAACTCGATTTATGTAGGTCTCCACTCTTGAATTAATGAGTTTAACAACCCCTATAATCTTCAGTGTTGAATTTTAAAGTTGGCAACCTGGTTCGTTCAACTACCTAAAAACTCCCGATATAACCGAGTTTTTAAATTTCACATTTTAGTTTTATACTTGATAATGGGGTTAAACCCGAAAACGGTCATATAAATAAATTTAAACTAGTGGTAATTAGACAAAAATGTTTTATTCATTACATTAAAAAAATAACTAGTGGAAATTACACAAAAGTATTTTCATTCATTTCATTAAAGTGATCATGAATTTCCACAAAATAAACAAGTCATTAATTACACAGGTCAATTTTCTTCTTTACACCAGGAGATAAAAATTTCCATGAATGACAACATCACTAAAGATAAGTAGTTTAATGATATTTTACAATTCTCAGTTTCCAAGGCCGGCGAGAATCCGAAAATGATAACATTGACAAAGGACCTGCATCTAATACTATAACCACAAATTAGATCAATGCAGAAAAAAATATTAGACAATACAGCACGTTTTCAATTGCTGTGATGTCTTTTTCCTTACTTTCGTACTGAATCTCTTAGCAGTACCCAAAAAAATAACCTGGCCTCAAAGATGAAAAAAAATCAAAGGAAATGTGCAAAACTTTTCATTTATTAATTCTACAAATCTGTGGTATAACCTTCAATGTCGTTTTAATCCTCACAGAACGTTTCCTTTTTAAGTTTATAGACTAAGGAAAAACCAAGTCCACTATTTTGATAGCTGTTATCTTGTTTTATCAAAAAATACAACAGATCCAGAATCAGATTCTCAATGAGAATCGCCTTTTCCTAGCAGCAAACGCCAACAAGTCCATCGGTCGCTTCAGCAGCATTTTCTTCATTATTATCAGACATTATTAACATTTCCGTGTTATTTAAATTATCGAAACGTGTTCACGCCATTCTTCAAAATCAAATACTGGAAGGACACAATACCAAATAATTTTTTTAATTTACCACGTACGAATAATTAATCTTCATTGCCAAAACGTAACTTGCATTTTAATCACCTCCCTCATTTCAAAACTAATCAATAGGTACTCTTCAAGGAAATGTCTCAAACTTAAAAACACGTACATGAAAGCAATTTGACTTTTGCAAATAGGAATGTTAAAATTTCCAGTTAACTTAATTGTGTTATGATAATTGTATTGTTGAATACAGAATTTTTTTCATATTGACTATAAATGTTTCAAATTTACTTTTATTAAAAGGGGTATCGCTATTCTGAAGTGAGGATGTTATAGTTTTGAATTTTTCTCCAGCCTAAGAATGTATTACCACGATGTCTTCGAAGTGATGTGGAATATCTCCGTTCCCAACTAACTCATTCATAACTAAAAACACGTAATATCTTACAATGGGTCAACGAAACAGCAAATACGTAACATAATTTCGTTTTCGTTCGGTTTGACATTGACCTAGAAAGTTGTGATGCGTTCTTTCTTGGTAATAATTATGTAAACGAAAGGTTTTTGTGCTAATGACCGTTGCTTTCACTACATTTGCAAAAGATGCTCGAATTTTTATATCATTATCTATGAATATGTATATTTTAATAACTACATAATACCTTCGATGAAAACTGCAATTTTATCAAATTTTATAAATCAATTAATATATAATTATTACGTAATGGAGTTGGGCGACACTTGATGAAAACCTTTGATAACGTAACAAAGTAATACTTCATTCTGAGACTTTTGCTAAACAGTTTCCAAACCGTAACACTTATTTCACTTCACACATACTTCACTTTATATTAACTAAATTAATAATTTGAATAATGTCCTACTACCAACTCAATGATTTTCTTTTCTCAAATGTAGTATGTCATAGTCTTGATCGAACTTATGTCCCTCTTCCAAAAAATGGTTCGCAAATGTGGAACTGATCTCTTCATTCGAGAAAGTACTCGTATGATCTTTTATGCTTCGCGAAAACGTTCTCCTCATTTGCCCAATGTAACACTTTATAGATAGATCACAATCCAAGAATATCATTACTTTCTACAATAGGAATCCTAGAACAAATTTATTGAAAAAATCGCCGATATTAGTATTGTGTAAGTTGTTCAATAAAGTGTTCTACCTGTGCGATTTACATCATGACAGCAAACAGTTTATTTTAAGAACTATTAAAAATTCAATGTCATGATTGTTCCATTTTTTTTTTGTAATCTGAATCTTTTTTTATTTATATATACTCTCTAATTATTTTTATTTTCTCTATTTGTGAGTGTAAACGTGTTGAGAATAAATATATTATTATTATTATTTAATGTGAAATGTTTGCTAAACAGTTTCCAAACCGTAACACTTGTATCACTTCACACATACTTCACTTTATACCAACTGAATTCTACCTGATAAGTGCTTCACATAAATTAACAATTTGAATAATGTGTTACTACCAACTAAATGACTATTTTTTTTTCTCAAATGTAGTACGTAATAGTCGTGATCAAACTTATGTACTCTTCCAAAAAATGTTTTACAAATGTGGAATTGATCTCCACATTAGAGAAATTACTCGTATAATCCTTAATGCTTTAATAAAAAGCACTCCTAGTTTGGCCAAAGAATAAAAGACTATGACTTGTTATATTTGGGAGAGAATGGTTTGAAACTCAATCTTTTGGAACGCGTGGAAATCAATAGATTTAAGTGTTTGGACGA